AGCCCTACTTCTTCGCAAAGCAAAATGATTAACACTATCATAAACATAAACATAATTTTTCAAATAGTGCGCCATTCAATTTTAGATGAATTCAAGTTTTCCTTTCGGCAAACAGACGCAACAATCAAATACAGTGATTAAATATATTTACAAAACACATGCAGTAGCATTTAAAGGAGTAGATTAAATTCAATTCTTTTAATTTAAACCGCTACAAATAGGAAAATTTCGCGGAAAGCCCAAAGCATTTTTTAATTTTAATTCAAGTATTTTTTTTTACTAAGTGCTCGACCAAACCAAATCTAATACCCCTTGACAGCGTGATTCAACGCTCCAGGGGGGCCCTAATCTTCCCACCACCAAGGGGAGGCCTACATGGCGTGAACCCGAGATCGATAGAGTGCGACTGCTAACAGTCGCCACACGGGTTGTAAGCCTCACTGAGGACGTCGGCAACAGAACACCTTGACAAGTGGACTGTTGACGGCTCAAGGCTTAGTGGAGGCGGCCGTGGTGGGAGCTAAGGCGGCAGCTAGCAAGGGCCGCCTCCATCAAATGGGGAACAGTGGTACACCAGTCGCGGCCACTCAGCTAACGGGAGTGAGAAGGGTCCAGCGGACCGATGAGTGGCCGTGAAGTTCCTCTCCACACGCTGAGGGGGGACGATGACACCCCCGCTCCTGGGGGAATTACCCCCCGACTGGTCGGAGGAGGGACCCCTTCCAAACCTAGGGGCCCGGTGGCTAGCCAGCAGGCGCCGAGAGTCGCCCGGCAGAGGGCGTGGCTGAGCGCCCCCGCCCGTGGCGGTCGAGAGCCTGGCAGAGCCCCGAGAGGAGATGCCGTTCGCACCCAGGCACAAAACGGCATGGTGATTGCCCTGGCAATGCAGACAGGGCCGTCGATGCGGACAGTCTCGCTGGAGGTGCCCTCCCAAACATGAGCAGCACCAGCGGCGCTCCTTGGCGATAGTTCGCCTCGCTGGAACCGGCTTACCTAATAATTTCGGGCACGACGTTACCCGATGATCAGATGCTCGACAATAGGAGCAGGGGGGGGGTTGACGACAACTTGCCTGGAGGATTCAGCCTCTCACTGGGCACGGCTCGTAAGTCGTCAACGGTGCCCGCCGCGCTCTCTATCTGCCGGCACTGCTTCTCCGAAAACCGCAGCAGGTCATAGAAGGGCGGAATATAGGAGGCCTCGTCCCCGCCGTACCTCTCCTCAAAATGGATTCGAAGGTCGAGAGGTAGACGGGACAGCACGATGCGGAGCAACAAAAAAGCCCATTCGCCCACTGGTATACCCAGCCGCCTCAACGTATTATAGGCCACCAAGACTGGATCCAACAGGTCCGGACGCAGTCTGACCCGGTCACTAAGCAGCGGGAGGCTTAGAAGCTGCTTAACATGTTCGTCCGCAATTCGCCGGACGTTGGCGTATCTTCTGGCTAGGAGGTCCCGAGCAGTCTGGTAGGCGTCGTCCGACAATCTCAAGTGGCCGACGACGCCCAGGGCCTCCCCCTCCAGTGAGGCCAGGAGGTACACCATCTTTTGGCTCGGGGTCAAGTCACTCCGGGCATCCACTAGGCTGTCGAAAAGACCAACGAAGGTCAACCATTCGGAAATGACCCCGGAGAACTTTGGCAGGTCCAGAGTTGGGAGTCGTCCCAACAGCTCCGGCTGAAGCTGCTTCAGAGAGGACTCGGACAGGTCACACATCCGAGCTTCACGCACCTCCTCGTCATACCTGCCTTCAGCCTCGATCAACTCGTCCGTGAGCCAGAAGAACTGCTCATAGTCCGCGCAGCAGGAGTCCAGGACTCCCTTTTCCACATCCGAATCCTCGAGCTCAGCGTAAGCCTCCTCCACTGCGGCCCTTCGAGCATCCACCTGCCCGAACCGCTTCATCAAGTTATGGACCCTATCCGGTCGACCTATCAAAGCATGGGCGCTTGTGGCCCAGCGTAGCTCAGTCCGCAAACAACGGATCAGTAGCTTGGGCGATGTCATCACTATTAAATGCAAATTACGACGCGGTTTGAGCACAGATTACAAAAATAACAAACAAAAAATAAAACAAAAATTAACAGTTAATAAATGCAGTTCCTATCAAATCGCGTTGAATAGAAATTACACAAATACGAATTACTACGTATCAACCAAATACAAGTTAGCACAAAAGAAAAGACACAAATCAAATTAACAAATAACAAATACTAGTGCGATCAAATCAAGTTAAATTCAAATTGCGCAAATACAATTACTACTCTTTAGTTCAAATACAAATTACAGTATAAACGAAGATACACATCACGGTCGATCAACAAAAAATGCCTAGCTCAGAAATCGAACCTTCGATAAGTAATCCACTACAACTATCCGACAACGATAATTAACCGATTACGTAAAAATAACCATCTACCTACATGACGTATATCTCTAGAAAAACTCCCGCTTGCGCAACCTAGGGCGCGGCTTTTCAAACTACCTACTAACCAAAAAAAGGCAAGCAACAAACAACAAAGGGAAATAATTCTATTATTACGTACAAAAAAATATTTTTACGTATTACGTACGGGCGTGATTGTAGATACAAATTAAACCAATTAATCCAACGCTCCCTGCCACCAGAATTGTTTAATGTTTATCAAACACTATGGTCGGGATCGACCGGGGAATCGGACCCGGAACCACGCTCTGCTACCAGTATGTTACGGCCTACGGCTACTCCCTTAAAGGATCCAATCCTCTGGGGCCCATGAGCAGAAGACTTCCCGAGCAAACGTAGGTCGGGCCTCAATGTGGCCACGTGGAATCTCTCGAATTACACTAAAATATATGGGGGAGCGTTCTATACTACGGCCAGTCGACCGGCAGAGGAATTAGGCGGAGTTTACTTACCTATCCCAAGGCGACTGGTCCCTCCGGAGTCGGTCAGGTCATATGTGGTTGTGTAGTGAAAGGGAAATAAGTGATGTGATGTGTATCTAGGTGTGACTGATGGTGATTGAACCTAGACCTTGGCCGTCGGCAGCAGCCCGAGCGTCGACACCGCTCCAACTTGAGGGGGCTTCCGAGGTTGTCCACCGTCTTTTTTTTTTTTTTTTTAATTCTCTGTTACTGCTGCTATACATGCAGCACCATTTGTCACTATCGTTGTTTATTTCGTATACTTATATATCCTTTATTTTTCTTTTTTTTTTAACATAACTTTAAATATGCTTATTACTTATATCCTACTAACTCTTATATACTTCCTAACTTAAGATTTAACTACTTTTGCTTTCTTTTTTTTATCCTTATCTTTTACTGTTTACAATTGTATGTATTCTTATGTATGTATTCTTACAATTATTAATTAAGTTATATAAAATATGGTACTTAAATTAAGTTAAATTAAGTTATTAAGTGCGCCACCCGTTATCTAATATAATATACATCTATATCTAACATATTTTGTTATATTTTCTTTCTTTCTTTTTTTTATATTTTTTTTGCCTTTTTCCTTTTATATTTCTTTTCTTTTCTCTATGTAGCATTTTTTTTGTTTTTATTGCCAATGCTTTTCTTATGAATTTCTGTTTTTTTCTTTCCTTCCATTTTTTTTTATTTTTTTTTATATATTAATTTTCCTTGGCTATATATTATACATATTATTATGTTGTTATGGAATACTATTACAGCAAGTACTATTTACAACCATTTCCTATACTATATTAAACAATAAAAAGTATTTATTGCTCTATATGTTTTTATTAATTGCTCGTCTACATTTATTATTAATATCTAACACATTTAATATTATATAATTATTAATCTACATTTTTACAATTAAATATCTACTTTCGATCCATTTGCTTTTCCTGCACACCTAACGACATATTCTGCATATTTAAGAAAATGGATACGGCAGTCATCATTGTTAATTACATACTTTAAATTTGTTATATTGATTGCAATTCCCATCTTATGCTCGCATTCCATTCTTTGAATAGTGAATCTAGGACAATCTATTAGCAGGTGTTCAATTTTTTCTTCTATTTCATTACTGCAAACACAAGATGGGGATTGCGCCAACTTGAACTTAAACAAATAAGCCTTAAATCCTCCATGACCAGTTAATAATTGAGCTTTAATATTGTCCATTCTTATCTGTTTCAGTGTCTTGTGAGCTTCTCTTACGTCAGGGAAGAAATTTTTCGTGACTGCTCCTGTTGCTGCTTCACTATATCGTTGCTGCCACTTCACGCAGGTAGAGTCCCTGGTTAGTCGCTTCGCGAAGGATAGCGGACACTTGTCATAAACTGGTGCTTGTTTGTTGGATAGTGCAGCCTTTTTGGCAAGCTCATCAGCCCTTTCATTGCCAGGTATACCGATATGTGCCTTTATCCAGTAAAATTTAACCTCGCCGTTTTTATTTACTAATGATCTTATGCGCTCTCGTATTTCAGCTGCCAAAGGATGAAGGGACGAGCTGTCCGTTAGACACTCTAGAGCTGAACGTGAATCGCTTAGGATTATTCCTTTCTTCAATTCGCCGAACTTGCACATCATATCTAATGCTTTTAATATTGCGGTAAGCTCTGCCTGATAAACGCTACAATAACTTTCTAGCCGAAAGGTAGACTTACGTATTTCGCTGCCATCTTTCCATACACTGACAGCGCCACCAACTTTCCCTTCCAGCTTGCTTCCATCCGTATATAACCTTGGCTTTAGGCAGTCTATTGCTTGTTCCTGATCTAGAGAGCTTATCAGCTCAAAAGACATGCGACATCTTTCAGCAGGATGGGGTAGGCAAAAAGGACTTATTGGTTTTTCGATGTCTCTTCCCGGAAGTTGGTCCAGTGGCTTTCCTTGTTTTATTTCGTAGAGCGAAAGTCGTTCCATTGCTCTTAAGTCGAGAGGGAATATTCCTGCCAGTATAACGCTAGACGTGAAAGAGACTGTTCTGTGACCTTTACAGATTTTGATTGCGAACATTCTTGTTATGCGCTCCAGTCATTTCTTCATATATTCTTTTTTCACCGTCATACCCCAGACATTTGCTGCATAAAGAATGGTTGGTTCAACTACTACTATATATATTGTTTTTACTATATCAGAATGAAGTCCCCAATGAGCTTTAGCTGTTCTTGCTATCATTTTGTAAATTTTTATTGCCTTCCCGAGGACTTCATCTAGATGTTCTACGAAGTTTAAATTTTTATCGATGGTGACGCCAAGTACTTTTAGACTTGTAGATGGTTGTATAATAATTTTGTCCATTTTAATTATAGGTAATTCGTAAGATAACTTTTTGGTTATTACGATAGATTGTGTCTTATGTGGTGCAAAATTTAATTTGTGCGTTTTGCCCCATGTTACTATTTTCTCTAAAGCTGGATTAAGTTTGTCTTCTACATCTTTTGATGAGTTTCCTTTTGCGATGATAAGAATATCGTCAGCAAATGCCTGAAGATGTACGTCCATATCTGAACTTAATTCAAGAAGGGGGTCGAGAAGGATGTTCCAGAGTATGGGTCCACAGGTCGATCCTTGTATGCATCCTTTAGTTGTAGGTTTGGTGGCTATTGCTCCTGCATATTTCACTATAACACTCCTTGAAGACAGATAGCTGGTAATGAGCCTTAGGTTGTGTATGTTCACATTCTTCCTTTGGATTTCTTTTATTATTTGGGGCCACCAAGCATTGTCAAAAGCCCCTTCTATGTCGAGGGATACCATAACAACTATCTTCTTTTCTTTTATGCCTTGTTTTATCACTGTCATTATGTCATATAGTGCGTCCTCTGTACTAAGTTGTGGCATAAAACCATATTGTCGATTGCTGAATTTTCCTTCCCTTCCAAGCTGCCAGAGTAATCTGCCTACAAAGAGCTTTTCTAAAATTTTTCCAAATACTGGCAACAAGCCAATTGGACGATATGCTTTAGGTACAGTATAGTCTACTTTTCCAGGCTTCGGAATAATTTTTATGATTGCTTTTTTCCATATCTTTGGGAAATAGCCTATTTCAAGACATTTATTATAAATAGCCAAAAGGATCGATGGTGTTGTTTTATAGCTCTCATAACAGATATCCGAGGTCATACCATCCTCCCCAGGAGCCTTTTTGGGATTCATTTTTTGAAATACCATCTCTATTTCTACTTCAGTGAATTTTATATAAGTAGTATCTGTATAATTTTTGAGGCTTCTAATTATTATATCAACTTCCGCTCGGATGTTTCTTTGTTCTTCAGTATCTTTATTATAGTCATCATCAGGGTAGAACGTTTTTGCTAACAAAGAGGCCGACTCATTTGGGCTCCGTTCGCCAAAACGCAAGAGCTTGTCCTCGTTTGTAGTGCTGCATCTCCTAATAACTCTATAGATACTCTGCCATATTGTTTCTTTTTCCTGTTTTGAGCACAGTTCTTTCCAGCTCGTATTCATCATTGTTATTATGCTATGAACGTATTTTTCTTTAGCTGTAATAAATTCTTGAACTACGTAGGGCTTTCGATTTTCATTTGCATATTTTATTTTTCTTCTAAGTCTAATAACTTCTTTCCTCTCAATATCTAATTCTTTAGTCCACCAAGGGGTACTAGTTGTATATACCTTCTTGGAGATAAGTGGAATTGCTGGTTGTCCACCGTCACTTACTTCTTTCGTCACGTTGACAGTCAATTAACTCTATCGTACGATTAACTAACTTACAGAAGCCACTAACTATCGCGGGGTATAAGGTTACCGCACAAAACACGCACGGAGCTTCTGGGTCAAAGGTCATTACCGTTTCGCGTTGCAACAGTTAGTTCTAGAATACAGAGGCCGCACTTGCTAATATTGTCGAATGCACTTATACAGATTCTGAGTCGGACCCAATAAGTCCCGGGGAAGCTCTCCAGTAGGGATACGCGCCACAAAATTCTTAGACCGTATTTTTACTGTCCGCGCTTAATTATTCCGAGTTCCCGCGCTTAATTGGCAGCGTGCCAATTGTTAGCACATCTGGCAGACGACTGACTTTTCACTCGCGATCCGCGCGCCACTGCACGCTCGGAAGAACTTCAAACCGGTATCGCCCAGAGCCGCGCGCCCCCTAGACGTCGATTCCGACAACAGCGTTTTGCGCGAACAATGAATAATAATAATAAAAGGGTATCTTACTTAACGTAGGTACAGAAAGGCAAAGAATGATTACTCTTAGGAGCGTACTTGCATAATTTTAGTCACTTGGCGTCTGATTGGTTTTTGACGACTATTTAGAAAGCAAACGGCCATTTTAAATTGAGTCCTATCGACGCTTATTAGTTTGTGGAGGTGTCCTCCAACTAACGAACTTGTCCACAAGGAGGTATTTTGTCACCCCTCCATTGGACTCTTACGGTTGACTTAGTATTGTACAAGATGGCAGAGCTTCGCATTAACACACTGGGTTATAATTCTTACCTACGCTCCACTGTCTGGTTGTTTAAGACTAACCAAAATACGACGACGAACAGACTAAATAGTCTACAAAAGACTGCCTGCTTAATGGCAACTGGTGCGATGCTATCATCGCTTGGAGCGGCTCTTAATGCACTTATAGGCCAAACACCCCTTGATTTTTACTTATGCAAGGAGGCGAGGGCTAGTTTGTATAGGATTAACACTCAGGGTGGTTTGGGCTTGCTTTCCTATAGATTGAGATCCATGCTCGACACCATTAAGGAAACACCGGTCTTATGCATGATCTCAGATATCATGCATCCACTATATATTTTCAAGAAAAAGTATACAGTGGAACTACCCTCCAGAGAAGATTGGCTGAATGAACAGGTCATCTTTGAGATCGGTAGCCTTATATGGTAAACCGATGGGTCAAAATGGGCATTGACGTAGGAATTTGTGGGGAACGTCCGAAATTCAAACTTTGTATGAATTTGGGTAGATTCATCTCTATCTTCCAGGCAGACATTTTCAACATACTTCAGTGTGCGGATATCAATCTGCAAAAATACTATGTTAACTATATAACCTATATTCATATAATCTATATCTAATAGTCAATCAGCACTGCTAGCGCTGAGATCAAACTTGGTGAGACTGCGTAACCGTCTACACGCCCTGGAAGGTAACAACAGGGTCGTTTTAAGGTGGGTTCTGGGTCACGTAGGTATTGTAGTCAAAGAAATTGCTGACAGGTTCGCAGGGGAGGGCTCAAAGAGTACACACAATTTGGACCGAGCTATTTTGTGGAATCTCAAAAAGCCTCGCCTGATTGACCCTGGAAACTCTTTATCACAATAAATCACTTAAAATCTGGTCTGATAGACCAGGCTTAAAACATTCTAAAATCTTATTTCGGGCTTTCGATCGTAAATTCGCTTCGGGAGCCCTGGGATTAGGTAAAAATAAATTGCGTATTCTGGTAAGAGCCCTGACTGGACACTGTTGTCTTCAAAAGCACATGTCCATCCTAGGACTAAGCAGCTCAAGGATGTGACGGTTTTGCTCCCTAGAGGAGGAAACGCCTTTACACATCCTGACAAATTGCAGATCCTTAATGCGCAAACGCAGCACCCATCTGAGAAACTATGTATTTCGTTCAGAAGATGTGAAATTACTCACAGCTATGCAACTCCTTTTATTGATTGAGGACGTAGGGCTTAGCAGTAAAGTATAGATATAGTAGTGATCACAATAGAACTTTTCGGCCGCAGTGATACTGGTCTCTCTACATCTCCATAGCTACAAATAATAAAAAAAAGAACGTCTCAACGAACATTGTAGCACGCCGTCTCAGTATTTGGTGCACACAGGTCGACATCCGTACCATTAAAAACCGGTACAAACGCTGTACGAGGGCGATCCAGCGAGTAGACTTCAGTTTTGTCGTTTCATTCTGAATGCTAACGCAGACTAAGAAAATGTTTTAAGAAACATTCTATGGACGGATAAGTTCAAATTTGACCGAGTTGGAAAACTTATTAGTAGATGTTGTTTCTTCTGCATATCAACGATATGTAGCAAACTAGTAACATTCATTGCTATGCAGACGACAGCACTGGTGATGCTTTATACACCGGCTGTGATAATATTTCTCGGGAAAACGTCGCCGAGTACCGGAACAAATTTGTGTCTCAAGTCGATACTTTGTTGAACAAAGTCTCAGACTGGGGCGACTAAATCTAGTCCAGTTCAATCCCCAAAAGACACAAGTTTGCGCGTTTGCCGCTAAAAAGAATATCTTTGTCATATCTCCTCAGTTCCAAGGCACTCTCCTTGTTGCCTCAGTCAGTATCGGAATCCTCGGTGTTGACATATCGAGTGACGTGCATTTTCATGGTCACTTGGAAGAGAAGGCCAAATTGGCCTCTCAAAAGCTTGGCATGCTCAGCAGATCGGGAGAGTATTTCATGCCGGCACACCGCTTGCTACTTTACAAGGCGCAGGTTCAGCCTCACATGGAATACTGTACCCATCTCTCCCCAGTTCCAGCTCCTTCCACTTGACCGCATCCAGCGCAGAGTTCCCGATTGATTTGACCAAGTTCTTTCCGATCGGCTTGACTCACTGGCACTGCGTAGAGATGTTGGATCTCTTTGCGTATTTTATCGCATCTATTACGGGGAGTGCTCTGAGGAATTGTTCGAACTAATTTCAGCCGCTCAATTTCACCATCGCACATCGCGACAAAACTCGCCATACCATCCATACCATCTGGATGATTGGCGGCCCATACACCGATTTAGAAGAAGTTTTCGTCCTCGCACAATTTCTTTGTGAAATCGATTACCACCAACTATTTTTCCGGACTGATACGATCTTCAAGAAAAGAGCCTATTCCTTATTAAAAGGCCGGCAACGCATCTGGAATTCGTGTTGAAGTTGTTCAAAATAACAATAAAATCTTCAAAAATAACGAAACTTAAGTTAACTGATATTAAGCAAGATGTTTAATCTTTAAAAAACTATAAAAAAGTTGTTTAGTTTTATAAATGACCAACATTTGTTTACTTGACTGTACGTTTTGAATAAATGTCTTCACAGCGATATTTTTACCTTTTTGGATAATTGATTAAATAGGCATGTTTTTTGAAATATTTTTAATTTATGTGTCATGTCATAGTAATTTTTTGAAGTACGTAACATTTTATGATACATAAAGTGTAAAAAATAATAAAAGAAAATAATTTATTAAGAGCCATAATTTTTTATTGTGAATACTGTTCGTACTTTTTATGATTGTATTCGCTTGGTTGAATCTTCAAGAAAATAAAATATACTTAAAAAAATGTTTATTGAAGTTATATTTCTTTTGGAGCATATGGGAAAAATGATGAGAGTGAATTTTTACGATGCGCGCGCACACCGACACCTAAAAACGACACCATGAAGTTGATACGATGCGCACGCACACTGACACCTAAAAGCGACAACTTCAGTGGGTGATTGTGTTGAAGTTTTTTTATTTTGTTATGTTAAAAAAATATAACTTCCTACGTGGGTACACACACTTTTATTTAGAATTTAATACGAAATTATGGGTAGTTATTGAAAAATCTTTAAATTCCGAATATCTTAAGACCTGTTTATTTTCTACCATACATATGGAAGGAGTGAAATTTTTAGCATTTTGACTCTCCTATCACGCCCGGCCGGAAAGTTGTCGAGCTCCCAGTAACCCTGTTCTATAAATATATTATAATCAAATAAACAAAATTCAGGCCTATGTACAGCAGTGGAGTGAAATTTAGATATTTAAGTCATATTAGTTGCTCATATGGACCTTCACACGCCGATGGCCGTGTTATACCAAATGTGAAATCGAGTACCTAGTGTTAAAACCTTATTCATTATATGACTAAAGGATGCTCCAGGCATGCAATAATTACTGATCAGATGTTCTTTTAAACAGTTATTTAACATCATCAGGCCTCTGTCACTCTTGCTACCTGCCTTAAATATTTACCTACAATCGTCAGCTGCCCCAGGGGTAGATTACAGTCGGGTCTAGAGTGCTCTAGGCGATTGAATGTTGGTTTTTTTTTAACGCTTTTTACGTAAATAATTTTTTGTAAATAATTCTTCTTGAAATACTCGTCGAATTAGTTTTTGTTTAGTGCTTAGTATCATTTTTTGAGTTACCTAAGGATAATTAAAGCTTTTATTTATTTTTAACAGTGGTAGAGCCACGCGGCAGCTTTTGCTGTCGCACGGATAGGCCGGCTCGAACCGGGGTGGTACCATGACCTCACAGAATACCAGCGTGAAGTAGAGGTTTACCTCAGCGTTTCGCTTGATAAATGCAGATGGCCGGAGGCCCTTTTTACTGAAAATGTTAGTACTCACGGGTGACAACGCATCTGCATTTTGATTTGTAATAGAGGATAGATGTAGATGTCTATGGGCCACAGCAACCACTTACCATCAGGTGGACTGTGTGCTCTTTTGTCACCCTTATCCTA